CCTCCCAAAGTGCTGGGATTACAGGCTTGAGCCACCGCGCCCGGCCTAATCCCAGCACTTTGGGAGGCTGAGGCAGGAGGATTGCTTGTGCCTAGGAGTTCAAGACCAGCCTGGGCAACAGAGCAAGACATCATCTCTACAAAGAATACAAAAATTAGCCAGGCATGATGGCACATGCCTGTAGCCCCAGCTACTCTGGAGGCTGTGGGAAGATCATCTGAGCCTAGGAGTCTGAGGCTGCAGTGAGCTAAGATAGCACTGCTGCACTCCAGCCTGGGTGACAGAGCAAGACTCCAACTAAAACAACAACAACGAGAAGGAAGGATGACACAAAGACAAGGCAGAGTAAGGCATGGCAATAAAGAGCAGAGCACAAGCAATCAGGATGCAGACTGGCTCCACCGGGTGACGGTTCCTCCCACTCTCCCTCCTTTCAGAGAGGCTCCAATTACGGCTCCCTGCTAACCACAGAGGGGCAGTTCCAAGTCTTTGCCAAGACAGCATATTATAAGGTGGGCCTTGGGAAAGATCACCAGGCCTTGGGACTGGGGCAGGAGTGTCCTCTGATGGAGGACTGGTGGGGGTCCTGAGGGAAGGAGTAAGCTGGTGGGGAGCAGCAGATGGGGACCCCAGGGGTGGGCTACTGGGACCAAGTGAGGGTCCTGAGGGCAGGGATGGGCTGTCGGGAGCAGCTGGAATTCCAGGACACTGGGCCATGCTCTTCACAGTGACAGTCTCCATTCCATGCTCAGGGCAACCTCGTGGCTGTGAAACGTGTGAACCGTAAACGCATTGAGCTGACACGAAAAGTCCTGTTTGAGCTGAAGCATGTAATGCGGGGAGTGAGGCAGCAGCATGGAGAAGGGGCCCCTGGGGACACAAGGGAGATTGGCCAACAGAACTAGTTATGGAGGGACCTGAGGGTACCCCAAGAAAGGGCAGGGACTGGAGCCCTGGGAAGGACCTTCATCTTGTGGGTGGGAGTGGAGGAATCCTCAGATCCTAAGCTAGGAGAAGGGACCACTGGAGATACCCTGGAGGAATCTTGAGAGGCCATATGTTATGTCCCTGAGAGGGAGAGGGCTTAGGAGGCAGAGGGGGTAGGAGCAGATTCTGGGGAGGGTGGGCTAAAGGACATGGGTGGGAATTATCAGGGAAGATCCTAGTGATGGTTGCAGAAAATGAATAAGGAGTTAAGAAGAGTGAGGGTCCCTGAGGCTAGCCAGCAGCTTGGTGAGGAGTGAGGTCTCTGCCAAGCTCCTGATGCTGGTCTCACCTGCAGATGCGGGATGTGCAGAATGAACACCTGACCAGGTTTGTGGGAGCCTGCACCGACCCCCCCAACATCTGCATCCTCACAGAGTACTGTCCCCGTGGGAGCCTGCAGGTGAGGGGGACATGGGGCATCAAGAAACCTGGGTTCTAGCCCTGGCTTTGCCCCTGACTGGCCATAAGACCCCAGGCATGCCTTGCCCTCTTTCTGACCTTTCTGGCCCCATCGGTAAAATGGGAGCTGGGGGAGGGCTGTGAATCCATCCAGAGTTTTATCCTGTTGTACCAGTTCACGTCAGTAGGACCCCTGCACCCTCCTCCAACTCCCAGGGGGGCTCTGCAGGGGACTGGTCTGACTCTTTTTTTTATTTTTTTTTTTTTTTGAATGAATCTACTGAAAAATCATACTTGTTC